TTTTCTTTTTTCTTCAAAAATGTTCTAAATTATTTAATAAATTAATTATAATTATTAATTTAGATAAAGAGATGGTGCTTAACTTTTACCTCTAGTACCAAATTACTTAGTTTCTAATTACTAATTATAGCATATTAATAGCCTGATTAATTATGACGATTGGTTGGCTTAATATAATATTTTATTTTACTAGATTAAAAGTGTCTTGGAAAATAATGAAAAGTAAACATTTTCATTGGCTATATTTCTTGGTAATAAAGCTACTTTAAGCAGCTTTTGGATAGTACAGTCATCTAAGTTGGCCATTGTGGCACTAGTTCAATGATGTTCAGAAACACTGAAAACAAAATTTAAGATGGCTGCTAAAACTTTTAACTAAGAGATACAGATACCAGTTGCTTCCTATCAAACTTACAACATTAATTATAATTCTGTGTTGTCTTAGACTAAATATTTTTATTTATATGAAAATATTTTACAAAGAAAGCAGCAGTAGGAAATTATTTAAAGGGAGTTTATAACAGTTTAATCATGTAATGCACACAATAATTGACATAGACTGAACAGTTTATATCTACATTTTTCAGTTTCAAATTCAGAAATGATTAATATTTCAGAAAAAAAATGGTCATTGTCATAAAAAAAAATCAAGTATGCTTGCATTCATTTAACCATGTACAAAGATATTTTCCTGCAACAATGAAAATGGATAACAATGACCAGGTATGACATTGATGTCATTCCTGGGAATTAAGTTTTGCTGTAATTAAATATAATAAAATTTTGTGAAAAATTTATTTTTCGTATGATATAGTAAATCTGAATACATGCTACAGTTAATATTTATCTGATAACTTTGCAGTTTATTCATAAAAATTTAATACAGCATTCCAATATAGCTAAATTCCTTTGCAATCCATCCCAGATGTTAGCTAATTATTGTTCAAGAAAGTTTAATAGCTTTATCTAAAAATCATTTCACCTTCTCCAAAATAGAATTTACTTTTTTTTTTTTAATTTGAAATTGAAAAGGTGTAGTATTCAAAATTTTATCTTAAAATTTTATATGAATTTCTTGTAATTTAATAGTAAATATAACAATAATAATATACTAAGAGTATTTACACTGATGTATATTTTTGTTTTTAATTACAAATATTTTTTAAAATGAAGTTAAGTAGAAATAATGTAAACTTGTAATTGAAAATCATGTCTAAACTTATATAATTTTTGAATTTTATTTTTTAGTTTGCTGGTCTAGACGTGAACTCCACCATTCAGAGTGGAGAAAAAGCTGGTAAGTTTTTATTTGTTTATAAATATAATTAACTTGTCCTTATAATAAAAAATTAACATTACTAAGTTAGTTGAAAATTTTATTTTACTGAAAACTCATATGTGCATATGCTACAATGGATGCAGTCCAGAGGAAGAGTTTTTGGATTTTATTAAATTTTTATTTTAAGTTTTGATATATTTGGAATATCATACTTTTCTAGCTGTGATCTATAAAAAGTGTTTAAAAAAAGCTTTTAACTTTTGGATAATAAGCTAAAATTCAACAAAATAATTGTTTTTACCATCATAATCACTGTTAAAAGTGTGAAAAATTGTTTTTCTCGTAAAGCTTCCAAAAAGTTTTAAAACAAAAATGTTTTGATCTCTTAAAAGAAGCTGAGTTATGAACAATGATATTTTAGAAAAGGATTAAGAGAAAACTGTTTTAATTAAATATCTTTGAAATGAATTGTTTAATAGATAGGTTGCGGCTGACATTTTCATCACGACAACGTGTACGTCGGACATTCAGCATCGTCTTCCTGCAAGTGTAGAAGTTTGATAATGGCATTTGGAATGTCAAGCATAATTCCACTGACGTTCCAAATGCCATTATCAAACTTCTAGGCTTACAGGAAGATGGTGCATAACGTCCAACGTACACGTTATTGTAGTGAAAACGTCAGCTGCAACTTCTCTCTTTTTTCTTTTCTAAGTTATATTTGAGAGTAATACTTGAATTATTAAATGTCATTGCAAATTGCATTATTTTATTGTTGATGTATTGTAGCAAATAAAGTACAATCCGAATTTGTGTGGATTATGTGATAAGCCCTTGCAGAACATTCAGACACAATAATCTGGTAATATTAATAATCTTAAAAATATACCTTGGTTAATTGACTGTTGATGCATTAAGTATTGTTAACAGATTTTGGCTATATTTCTGAAATGTCAAATTCATATGAGTCTAGCCATTGATGAGCATTTAGTTTAAGCTTCTTTTTAACATTTAAAAATTAATTCAAGATGGCTTTATGATACAGCATTAAAACATAGTTAGTTATTATATATGCAGAAGAACATGAAAATAAATTCTCAGAATATTAGCATTTTGTGACATTTGTCTTGTTCTTTTAACTTGTTACTTAATCACAGAATAAAATTGATTAGTCAAAATATTTCTTTCCATAACAACAAAAATTGCATCTCAGAATTAAAGAAATATGGCATAGCCTTATGTACTGTACAGCAAGTCTTCAATGGTGTTTCATTATAATGGTATTGAAGAAAGTAAAAGTATATTTGTATTCAATTACAATTATCTTTGTTGAATTTTCTTTATAAACAGTAAAACTGATTCTATGAATTGGGAAATAAATGCTAGAGGTTGCAAATGTAATTGAATTAGAATAATACTTACTGAATTATATTTTATTTATATCAATTAATCTATGGTAAAATTGGTTTCATTGTTATTTTGCTTGATGTCACAGTTCCAAGAAACTTTGAACAATGTTCAGTGAGAACTTCACACACACACACACACACACACACACACAAACACACAGAGTCAAACTTCTCATGAGAAAGTTGCTAAATCCTGAAAAAAAATTGCTGTAGGGAAATTTCATTAAACAGAAATTACACTTTTTGGTAAATAAAGTATTATTTTAACATAATTTTTATGTTATTTTATGTAATTTAAATTAATACAGTAGAGCATTGATTATCTGAATATCAATCACCTGAAACATCAGTTAACCAAAAGCATTCCAGTCAGCAAATGTAATTTTCGCTAGTGCTGTGGCACTGAAATATTTGGCTGTCTTGGGCTACTTCAATATTATTTTTGTTGGTGTGCATGTTCTAGCTGGCAGGACTGGCATGACCGTGAGAGGGTACTTAAGGACGCGCCAGGATTTGAACAAATTTCAACATGGGATAGATTAATATATTTTTTTGTACATAATCAGTTATCCGAAAAATTGATAATTCGAACAATCCTAGTCCCAAATTGTTTCAGATAATCGATTCTCGACTGTATAAATGTAATATATAGTAATGGTGTAATATAAACGTTTTAATTTTAAATAAGTTTACATTTATGTGTTAAAATACTTAGAATTTAGTTTAACTACATTTTCGTAAAAAAAGGTATTTTTTTGTTGCACAGAACAATTAAAAAAATGTTCTCTTTGTAATATTCTTCACTTATTAAGATCACTAATTAAAACCAATTCATCTATATTGATGTAAATGCAGGTTCTAGCATGTTTTGCTATAGGTCTCTCATCATTGACTAACTTTAAAATTGATTTGTTATTGTGGTCAATAAGCCATTCAGGAATTCCAAACTTTGCTATAATGTCTTTCTTTTTTGAGCTCTTATCAACTTCCTTCAATGCATTAATTTTTTTAGTAATGCTTAAACACTATATTAATAGTTCTTCAAATTTCAACTGGACAACTTATTAAAGAACTAAAGGGGTTAAATAAAATAAAATCTCACTAACCTCAAAAATTAGTCCAGCGGTTGTCTAAATTATCACCTTTCTAATGTTTTTGACATTTGTTAATTGTAAATCATTTATCTGTCACTGACGACACTTGGATCTAATCTCTCTCCCTTTTTTACAACTGGTAGCCACTTGGAGGCAGATTACATGATGGTTTTAAAAGCTAATGACCAGTAGTTCTCACACCTAGACAGCAGTTTTACAAAGAGTTTACAGATTGATATTTGAAATTGAACCTAAACTCAAACTTGTACCAGATGGAGTAATTGACTTTTAATGATTGATGATCCTTACAAATTAAAAAAATTCATTATATAAAATTATAACTTTTTGTTTTGTTATTTAGAAGCAATTTTACATATATTTTTGGCTGAAAAAGCAGTGTCTAATGCAAATATTTGTTATATGGAGAGATTTGCTATATAGAAGTTCATAATATGGAAGTTTGACTGTATATATATATATATATATATATATAACTACCATATCAGTTTTGCTTTTGTTTTAGTTATTCTGAGTGACATATAAAAAAATTTATTGATTTATCAAAAACATTAAAGTAATTTTTTTATTACATAGGAGTATATAAACCTCCTCACCTTCGTAATCGTAGCAACCAAGGAAGTGGATCTCAAACCACTAGTGATTGGAGTTCACAAACTAATCGTGTAAGTGAAAGAGATAGTCGTGAACCAACTGATTGGGACCGAAACCGATATTCAGATAAAGGTGATCGATACAGAGGTAAAGAAATTTAAGAAAATCCTTTTTTTTTTTTTTTTTTTTTTTTTTNTGCAAAATTTCAAGAATTTTCAAAGGCACAGGAAACTTTTTTTTTATTTAAACTCTTTCCGCTGTGTGAACACAAAGAGGACCTCTTTTCGCTAAGCCCATTATGGGTTAGGCCAGGCCCACAAAGATGCCGGGTAGTGAAAGACGGGCCCCGACATATCCGGACGGACCACACCCGAAAAATTCCTGGGGATTTTCGGGAATTTCGGTCAGAAAATACTCTGTTTCTCTGCAACGAAGAGAGATTTAATTTCATCGTTCAACTTAAAAAAATACAGCATTTCAAAATTGTTACGAAATTGTATCAAAACGAAATTTAAATTTAAAGAAATTTGTTTTATTTGTAAACAATCTAGCCTAAAATTTTGATTTTATTTAAAAACTGAAACCTTAATAAATATAAAAATTGGATTTTTGACTCTGAAAATCGAAAAAGTTTGCAGAAACAAAAATCTTTGCATTACAACGTCATTCGCAAAAATCCGAAACGGAAGGAACATGGCGGACATACTGTACGCTGCATGCCACATTTTAATACTAGTAGCCCGGGACGCTCCCTAGTGGGCGTTTTAGCAGTATTACAAATTCCTATGAGGCATGTTTAAAGCAGCGGCAGCTTTACGTTCCTCCACAGTGGCGTATTTCTTTGGTCGTGCCTACAGTGGCTAGCCACTGTAGTCGTGCCATGAAAGGTTTCTATTATTATATTAAAAAATTAGCTTAACTATTTCAAACCTTATCGTTTTATTGTAGCGGTTCAAATCTATCCGGTTTTTCGTTATTCGCCCCCTAGTGAACATTACAGGCATTCCGTTACAATAATAAATTCCTATTACAAATATAATGAATTATTTAAATTGTTATATTGATCAAATAATAATTTACTGGCCAAATGAATAATAATAATTTATATTGTTAATTTAAATAATAATTAAAATTGTTAATTTAATTTGAATGTTTGAAATATGACACACAATAGGGGTGCCTCTAGTGTCCGTTATCAAACAGTTACAGGACGGACGGATGGAAGGAAGGACGGATACATGTTGAATGGGTTATATATATAGATTAGATCCATTAAGAATTTCCAATCATACTATATAGTTTTAAAATCTTTTTGGTTTCTAATTTTAGATTGAAAGAAAAGAAATATAACATTATGTCTCTCTTTGCAACACAAAAAAATTTTAAATTATTTTTTGTGTGTAACACTAATTGATCTAGAAATGAAGATTGGACAGAGATCTGAATAGCATAACAGGCAATACATCTGCACAGTAAGCAGGAATTGTTGAGGACCTGCCAGAGCAGGAGTTTGAATCTCACTCTGGACTGATCTTTTCTTCCAGATTATTTTAAATTAATTTTTCTAATTATTAAGTTCAAGAAGGTGGCTTAACTACCTACCTCTACTCTTACTTAATAACTATTTAGCTTTAAGTAGCCTGATAAAGAATCCTGCTATTTGTTTGATATATAAACTTAATTAAATATACTGTAAGACAGTGTTTCTCAGCCTGTGTGCAATGACAAACAAATGTATAGTGAAAATGCCTCAGGTGTGTTGTGGAAATATTAAATATTTTTAAAAATATTGAATAAACTCTTTTTTAAAACTCTATCTTTCATCTTTTTACTGCCTGCTGAAGGAAGAAGGACGTATTCATTAAAATGCCAATTGTTGCAAAATTTGCAGTGTCAGCATACCCCTCACAAAAGTTCCCTGTGTGTATGCATATGCCAATGTACCAACTCTTTGGAGCTTCTATAAATGTTGCAGCTTGCCAGCTTAAAGATTGATGCATTGATTAAAATAGCCTTTTTATTTTTATGCTATATTTGTGAGTTTGTCTTGATAAGTATAATTTCTGTATTTTCAAAATGGTTTTGTTTGATTTATTTGGTTACGGCAATGCAACACATGGCAAAATGCCTCCCAGGGGACCTCTATGGGAAAATAGCCCTATTTAGGTATTACAAATGTGAAGAAAACCTGGAAAAGTACATGGCCACCCAACCCAGTGGTAAGATGAGAACCCTTGATCCAACTACCAGTGTTCAGTGGTTTTATCCACTTTTTAAAGATGAAATGCACTAGTGTGTCATTGTTTGAAAACTTGATTTTTCTTGCCAGGCAGTTTGGAAGATAGAGGTTCAGAAGCTCAGGCATAATGGGGAATGTTCAGGGAGGGGAAGAAAACACTGTCAGAACCAGTTGCTTCAATGACATTTTCAAAAAGAGAATTCAGTGAAAATCAAGAGTTTCTCTGAGAAAAATTGCAAAAGAAGGTATTCATTGAAAAACTGCACATCTTATAGCTAAAAAGGATCTTTAACTGACTTTATAGAAGCTGAAAAAGAAAACAATATCTTGGAATATGGAAATATGCTGGCAAATATTTTTTTCACTGATAAAATTTTCACAATTGAGATCATGCCCAATCTCCCAAAAAAAAAAAAAAAAACATGAAATGGCCTCATAAATGTTCGATATTATTTGATGTGTGGAGGAATTTGCTCATCAGACAAACCTGATGTTTTTTTATCTGAAGGGCTCAGTCAAGTTACTGTATGGACTGGAGAGATACTTTGGAAACTGTTGTCATGCCTGTGCTCAGGAACATTTGGAGATTCCTGCAAGATTTGTTGCTTGCTTACCAGGAAAGATTGACACAGCAGAAAATTTTCCTGATTTTACCAGTATCAAAGAATGGTCATTGTACTCACCCAACCCAAACCCAATGGCTGATCCTGTGCAAAGCCCCACAGGAATTAGCAGCTGCTAAAGCAGCCTTCTGTAACTGAATGGGACATATGCATTACAGCTCATCAATTATAAACAGGGGTGGATCTAGGTTTTTCGGGGCCTAGGACTTATTGAAGTCCAATGGGACCCCATGTTTGTTAATACAAATAATACTATAAATTATCATTATTATTATATTATTAATATTAATTATATTTTACTATACGATAAATGCTCATTGTTAATGAAAAAGTATTAAAAATTTATGATGATACAATTTTTATGGGCCCTTGACACTTGGGGGGCCCAGGGCTTAAGCCCTATTAGTCCCTATGTAGATCTGCTATTCTGACTATAAATAACACTTTCCCATAAAATTTGGCACTACGTATTGGGACCAAGGGAGGAAGGACATTTTGAAAGTTGGTAGTCTAATTAGATATGTTGGTCATGCTGCAGGTTACTAGTTTTAATGTTGATTACTATGAAATAATAAATTAGTCCTTCTCTATAATTTATTGTTACCTTGAAATTTAGACTAAAGTAGGTAATACTTTTACTTCATAATAAATCAAATAATTATGAATAATTTATTGTTAATAAATTATTTTATAATACAAACTACTAATATGTTATAGAAAGTTAAATTATTCTAACTTTTTGTATTTATTACAGAATGAAAGTTTCATCAACTACTTCTAGTTCCAAATTATATTAATTTGTTTAAAAATTATAGAATTATAGCCCAAAACATCAATATTGGCTTGATTATACTTTGGGTTATCGGTTGTTTATGTTTTAGTGAATACAGTTAAATAAGAAATGATAAAATTTTAATTTTTTTCCCCTTACAGTATCATTGAAATTGATTGATCTTAAAACTTTTGTTTACGATTCTTTAAGGATCATTCTTTGAAGCTTTATGAAATATTTTCTGAACACATCTACCTGTTTTCATATAAAATTGCACTGAAAAATTAATTATAGTAATTTAGTAAATTGTATATTAAACATCAATATAACGAAGAATATGAGTTTTATAAGAATTCTTTTTATATTACGTTCAAATTAATGATGCTGCGATATTCAGTTCTTTATTTAATAGAAAAATAAAAAGTATTTTTAAAGATAAATTTGCTTTTTAGATCCTTACAATAGAGAATCGTCTGGAAGGACTGATAGTTATAATAGAAGCTATCCAAGCCGAAATGATTCAAGTAGTCGAAATTACAGTGACTATGAAGATTTTAAAAATGTAAATAATTGGGAAGGTAAGTTAAAATTTGTGATAATGCCATTGTTTCTTTTTTTATTTGACTTATTTTGAAGAATAGCTTGATTATTAAATATAATGCAGGTATTACAAATTGCATATTTTTGTAATTTATTGTAAATTTATAGTAAAAAATTTGTAGAAATAATGAAGACTGAATTGATATATAGCATGCAAGATAATTTCTTTTACTATCCATCTTTAATTGATTGTGTTCAATTTTTTTTAGTATTTTTTGAGATGGTTTTCAAAATTATTAGAATGTTGTAAAATGATACTTATTTTTTATCTTTATTTGCTAAATTATTGGATTATGTTCAGATATTATTATTTATAGTTTTGCTTA